TAACAGTTTTAGGAGTCATCTTTAGGTTTTTCTACATGTAAGATCATGTCATCTACACACAAACAGGAATAATTCGACCTCCTTTTGTAGTTACACTTTTTTTTTTCTTTTCCTTATCTCATTGCTCTGGCTAAGATTTCCAATGCTCTGTTGAAAAGAGCAGTGAAAGTGGACATATTCATCTTGTCCTTGTCTTTAGAGGAAATAATTTAAGATTTTCCTCATTCAGCATCATATTGGCCATGGTTATATCATATACAGTCTTTATTGCATTGAAGTATGTACCACCTTTTCCTAATTTTAAGGTTTTTATCATTCTTGAAGGTTGAGTACTCTCTTGATCTATTAAGATGATTATGATGTCGGGCATGGTGGCGCACACCTGTAATCCCAGCACTCGGGAGACAGGAGGATTGCTGTGAGTTCAAGACCAGCCTGGGCTACATAGTGAGCTTCAGGTCAGTCTCAACTACATAGTGAGACCCTGTCTCAAAAAACCAAAAAAAAAAAGATGATTATGGATTTTGTCATGCACTCTGTGGATGGGATATAGCATACTAATTTTCATAGATTAAACCATTCTTGCATCCCTAAGAAATCCCACTTGATTGTGGTGTGTAATATCCTTTGATGTGTTGCTGAATTTGAGTTGCTAGTGTTTTGTTGAGAAATTTTGTGCTGTGTATGTCCTTATTGAGGTAATGACTCAATGCATTCAAAATTGTCCTCTCCCCTTGCATTCCTTGGAAGACTTTTAATTGGTATTAGTTCTTTATAGATTTGGTAGAATTCAGCAGTGAAACCATCGAACCTTGGAATTGTGTGGGGATTTTTTATTACTGATTAAATCTCTTACTTGTTATTTGTCTCTTCAGGCTTTCTAGGTCATAGTGATTCAACTTTTGTAAGTTGTATGTGTTCAGAATTTTACCTATTTCTTCTAGATTTTCCAGTTTGTGGTTGTATAGTTATTGTGATCCTTTGTCTTTCTGTAATACCCATTGCACTGTCTCCTTTTCACCTCTGATTTTATTTATTTGGGTATCCTATTTTTTTTCTTGCTTAGTCTTGCTAAATTTGTCAGGTTTGTTTATCTTTTCAAATAAACAACTCATCCTTGATCTTTTTTATTTTGTCTGTGTTTCTTTGTGCTCTGATTTTTCTTTCTTTCCTTCTATTAATTTTGGTTCTTGCTTTTCTGTGTCCTTGAGTTGGATCATTAGTTTATTCAAAATATTATTTATTTTTAAATGTAGGCACTTCTTGTTATAAACTTTCTTCTTAGTGCTGTTTTGCTATGTTTCATGGGTTTTATATGTTGTATTTTCATTTTCATTTGTTTCAAGAAAATTTAAAATTTTTCTTCTGATTTCATGATTGATCCATTGGTCATTCAAGAGAGTGTTGTTTAATTTCTATGTATTTTTACAAAGTTTTTCTGTTGTTTTCTAATTTTATTCCATAGTGATCAGACAAATTATATACTTTCATTTTTTAAAAATTTGTTTGAGGCTTGTTTTGTGGCCTAAGAAATATGTTCAATCATAGAAGATGTCCTACGTGCTGATAAGAAGAATGTGTATCCACCATTGTTAGATGAAATGTTTGGCAAATGTCTCTTCAGTGTAATTGATCATTTACAGTATCATTTAATTCTAACGTTTCCTTATTGATTTTTTTTTCTGGGGATCTGGATGACCTGTCCATTGATTAGAGGGTTGAAATCCCTAACTCTTATCACATTTGAGACTCACTCTCTCTTTAGGCCTAATAATTTTGCTCTATAAAATGGGGTGCTGCATTATTGGGTGAAAATAGATTTGTAATTGTGATTTCCTCTTGTTTATCCTGTTTTATATTAGCTAATGACCTTTATTTTTACACATTTTGACATGAAGTCTATTTTATCTGTTATAAGTATAGCTACTCTTGCTCACTTTTGGTTTCTGTTTGTGAAGTACATCTTTCCCATCCCCAAACTTTCAGGCTATTGAAGTGCTTTGTTTGTTTAGTACCAGGAATTGAACTCAGGGCCTCAGGCTTGCCAGGCAGGGACTATGGCACTGAGCTACATCCGCAGCCCTACCTTTCAGGCTATTGTGTTTTTACTGGGGAATTAAGTTTCTTGTAGGCAGCATAACACTCTCTTGGTGTATTTTTTCAGTCCATTCAGGAAGTCTATAGTTTTAACTGAGGAATCTAACTCATATACAAAGTTATTAAGTAAAGACAATTTTTTCTGGTTGTTTTATATATCCTTCGTTCCTTTCTTTCCTGTTTTGGTTTGGTGGTTCTCTATGTTAATAAAGTTTAAATTTCTTTTTTCCCTTTTAATTCAATAGAATTTTAATGCAGACTTTTCAATAAAGCCATTAAAAATAAGACCAGTCTTACAAACTGCTGTGAAAAAAAAAGTTTTTAAAATTCTTATTAAAAAGCAAAATGGCATTAGAAAATGGAAATAGAGTGTGGAACAGAAGGAATTTTAACTTTCACTGTATAATTTTTACACCGTTTGGGTTTAACAAATACTTGTGGTGGTTGCAATTTAAAAGTTTTTACTTGACTACATTTGATCTATTTGGTCTCCTCACCGAGTAATAATAATTAGAGTTGGGATTAATGTTGGGACCCATTTTCTCCATGAAAATTGAGTCAGGTGGTACGGTGGAATGCACAGACCTGCTTATATTGAGGTGGTCCTTTTGATTCTGAGGTACAGCTCATCTGGCAAACACAACTTTGGAGCAAGATCTTACAAATGTTCGAACACCCTGAAGGATCTTGCATGTCAGCATCCTTTAAACTAATTGTGCCATTATACAAATCATACTCAAAAAGCATAGGAAGAAATGATGGTTCAGAATAAGAAGCAAAGGCTACTTCTGCAACTTTTGGAGGTTCTGCGTGTTTCATGGTGGCATGTTTACCTTCAGCAGTCTGGTGGTGTTAATGATTAATTATGGGAATAATGGCTCCTTTCTCTCCTCAGAAAAGTTTTTAAATGTATAAAATAATATGTGTGATGATAACAGAACAAATTATATTGCCACAGAGTTACTCAAATCTTAAAACAATTGTTGATAGGGCAATGTGTGAGTTTTTATGGAAGTATTAAATAACAGGATCTTCCTGTGGCCCAGTGATTTCCATAATTTCACACCAATGATGAGTGTGGGTGCTATTTCAAGCTGTTTGCAAAACCAGTAATGAGATCCAAACATATATATGAGTTCTGTTGGCGACAGCCACAGATGCTGCTAATACAGTTGTAATCTGTCGTCACACTGGAAGGCAACGCATTAGTGAAACTCAAGGTGCTCTTTCCCTTCAGCTACTCAGATGCCCCTGAATGCATGTTCCAGGTCAGAAACTATCGGTCTAACTGAAGGATCTGGGAAGAGGAAGAGACAGGGATAGAGTCAAGGTGGGAAGATAATAAGCTGAGAAGGAGTGAAATCCAACAGTAGGAGAGAAGGATGCCTCTGACTTGGTTTCCCATCTAAGGATGAGGAAGTGGGTGGACACAGGACATAGGGACTGGGAAACAGGGTGGCAGTCTTTGGATGGCTTTAGTGTGAATGAATAGATGAAGGACAGCAAGAGGTAGTTGAGAATGAGTATGGCGAAACCCAGATGTAACAAGGCAACTCAGTGAGGGGGAAGAACTGGCTGAAAGGCCCTGTGTGTGGAAGAGGCTCAATGCTTGATTCCTGAATGGTGTTTCCAAGGGGCCCAGGAGGGGCTGAACAAATGGTAAAGGACAGATAAGTAATTCACAAAGATGTTAGGTTTTAGAGATTCGCAAATAGGAAGAGCAGTAAGAAAAGAGGAGAGGGTTGAAGGTACACTGGGGTTCTAAGAGATGGTGTTTATTTAACACTATGGTTAACACAAATGTTTCCAGTAAGTGCCAACAGCGCTAGATGTTAGAATACACACACAGAAGATGCATATTTCAGATATCTCATGTGATGCTTACTTTTCAGAACCTTCTCTATCTTAAATGCATAGCTCTCTGGCCTTCCATCTGTGTTTTTAATCTCCTATGTCTTATCCTTGGCATGAACAACTCCTTTTGCTACTGTTTCCTCCGTGGTAGAAATCTGAACATCTGGTCCAGATTTCTTGGTTAGCACTGAAGAGCCGTATCTGTTAGCAGGTCTGAAGGCTTCAGACAGCAGAGGGACCCTGGTCTTGCTCCCTTCGCTGGGACTTCACTAGCCGTTATGCCTTCGTTAGCTTTATGCACGAGGAGTTAGAGCGATTCACCCATCCCCAAGGGCACCTCATGTATCTGTAACTTGTCGTAGATCTGACTGAGATCTTTCAGTTGTATCTGAGAGGGATTTAGGGGAGCTGAAGACTGACCCTGAACCCATGACCTATGTGCACATGGTCTACACATCTGCAGTAGCCACCTGAGGCCATATTAAGGGCTCCTCCTTCTAGGGCAATGATGACCCGTGATTATGGGTCAGAATACAGAGTGTGACTCTAGGATTGAGCCCATCAGTGAATTAATCTAAGCCAGCCATGGTGACCCACACTTGGAAATCCCAACACTCTGGGAGGCTGAGGGTGGGGGTGGAGTGAGCCAAACCTGGGCAACTTAGTGAGACCCTGTTTTGAGATTAAAAAATCAAAAGGATGGAGATGTAGCTCAGTGCAGAGGCTCTGATCCCCCAATATCTGCTGGGCAGCAGAGTGGGGAAAGGTTGATCCTCCATATATGCAGGCTACACATCTGGGGGCCTCATACCCACAGATTTAACTGATCACAGCTTGAAAATATATATACAAAGAATTGCAGAGTACTGGGCCAGGGACTTAGCTCAGTGGTTCCACCACCTGCCGTGCAAGCACAAGGTCCCGAGTTCAAGTTCAATTACTGGTACCAAAAAAAAAAAAAAAAAAAAAATTGTGTAGTACTGAATATACAAACATTCTTCGATACAGAAGAGTAACTATTTGCATAGCAGTTGCATTGTATTGAGCATTATATGTAACCTAGGGATGATTTAAAGTGTCCATTTCAGGCAAAGGGTAGAGAAGGTGAAAGCAACTACTCATATCCTGTGATTTAGTGGGAAGCTGTATAGGCTGAGCATCCCTTATCCAAATATGTGGAACTAAATTTGTGTCAGATTTCAGGGATTAGGGGACTTTGGATTATCTGCATACCAGCTGAGCAGCCCTTCTCTGAAAATCCAGTCTTCAGTGTTACAAAACTTTTTGTGTACCGCCTCCTAACTAGCTTTGGATTTCACATTTGGATTTCAAATTAGGCATGCCAAACCCACATAATCCCTAGTTGACGAAGCAAGACAAGGGCCTAAAATTGGATAACTCAGTACCATAAAGAAAACCCAAAAATCTATAAAGGTACGACTGGCTCCTACATTGAAAATTTCTCTAAATGCTTAGGAAATGTGAGACATTCCTTGGATGTTGTGTCCCAGGTTACTCTGCTGGGGGAAACCTAGGGGACTGGATCCTATCTCAGTGATGCTTCACGTTTGGCAGGTGGTGTGTTTAGCTTTGACCAAAGCCTTGTCTTTCACGGCCTTACTCAGAACTGCTGTGTGATTTTCTACAGCATCATGAGGTAAGAGACTGGTATGTGTGCCCAGTAGCTATGCAGCCACAGGGGTTTGTGGTACTGTTATTGCTTGGTGGGGAGCCTGCACTCTGGATGCATCAATATGGGGGGTTGCTCATGAAGAAATGAATACTGAAATTTCAGGTTTCGTGGTGTTGCTCTAATTTTGAACTGTGTAAGTAAAAAGGAAGCATGGCCCCAAAGACACACGCACGTACATTCTAGAAGACCCAGCCAGGGGTAGGAAAGGGGCCGCCCATGCATGAGAGATCCTGTGCCACGAAGGCTTCAAATGAGTTTGAGCTCAGTCCACAGGGGCCACCCTTAAACTGCTGAAAAAGAAACCAGTGAAAGATGCCTTTGTAAACAGTGAAGTGCACCTGCCAGGGAGGGCCTTGCAGAGCATGGTGTGAGGGACTAGTTAGAATGCTGAAATAACAGAGGATTCTGAAATTTGCTCCCCCAATCTAAAAGCTGTGCTGGCTTCCCATTTGCATTAGCCTTTACACAAATTCATACCCCGCATGCATGTGCGCACACACACACACACACACACACACACACACACACACACACTCCCACTCCCAAGAGGTCTTACGTAGGTCATCACCCTTCCATTTTCACATTTCCAAATGAGGCTTGAACCCGCTGGCCCCCGTTCTCACACTGAATGATTCCCACCCGGAAGTGGGACTCCTCCCATTCAGCTGCATGGATGTTGACCTGTGCCAGCCTCGCCCAGCATGCCTTCCCCTCAAACCCACCTCTTTATGCTTCTCAGCCCTCAAGCTCAGACCTCAACTGTGAGCCCTTGGGTCTAGGGAATGAGAGACCACTGGACTTGTGTTTTCTTTTAAATCTTTATTTGCCACTTGCGTCCTTTTATTCCACCAATGTGAACCGTGGAGGCCAGCTGGAGGCCGCCTATGGTGCATTTGCGAGGGGATCCCAAGCCCAAGCATCACACAGGTGACAAGGGCATCTGTCAGGAGCCTGGGACAGCAGACACCGCCCTGCCAGAGGACACAGGAAGGCCATCTCCCACAGCAGTCTGGCCTTTAAAACACTAACAGTTGCCTTGTCCTCTTTTTTTTTCTTTTTTTGCTTTAATAATAAAAAGGAAAATGAAAACCTCCTATAATTTATAAGCTATTTTTTGCTATCTACATTATATATAAAATATAGACTCTGTTTATAACACACATCTTTTTCCCTTGATAAATAATTCTTTAAAATAATATCTAGTATACATGCCTTGACTTTTTGTTTTTTTATACATATACATAAACATATATACTCTTGTTTGTAAAACACAATAAATATATACTCGACAAAGTCAACCAAACTGATGCAATTTGGGTTAAAAAAAAAAAAAACCACATACACACAAAACAAAAGCACCAGGCAACAAACAGAAAGCCATAATTACAAGAAACTTTTCCCTCTCCTGGACAAGGCACAGGGCAGCATAGAGAAATGGGTCAGGTCACAGCTTCTGTTTCTTAACATGGGATTCCACTCGGCAAAACCAGTAAGCTGCTGTGTTTACAAAGGGAAGCCATGGGGCTCTAGCAAATTAGCCCTGTGGCTGCAGAGGACAGCAGAGCACAATGGGGAAGGGGAGAGGTAGGGACATGGCGACTCCAGAGCTGATGTGTACTCTGTGCCCAGCTGGGCTCTGACACTGTGTGCAGCCTCAAGCCACTGCACTCGGTAGGTTCCACTGCTGCTGTGAACCCAAGGACTGCACAGATTTGAGGGTGTTCAGTAGTGAAACACTTGGAGCATGAAGGAGACAGCCAGCCAATTTGGTGGAGCCTCTCCAGCAAACAGGTACCGTAGTATGGAGGAAAAAATGGCCAGCAGGCTACGACTGTCCCTTCTTGTGGTTACAAGATACAGCACTGGTTTCATGGCCAGTCTATCAGGCACACTGAACCCATCACTTTTAATGTAGCACAGGAGAGAAGTCTGGGGCCACCTGGACAGTCTTCTGCTTCTACACGAAGGGTGGGTCAGACCAGTGCTGCCTGAAGCCATTGAGGGCTCTGGAGCCATCCTGCAGACATGCCCAACTTTTCCTTCCTATTCCTGCTCCTTCTCCTCAAAATGGAACTGAAATACAAGGTTCTCATAGCTGATTTTGTTTTCCAACAAGCTCCCCAGGGTTATGACTTCTGTCCTGTGAACTCCAGGATTTTGATGGCCAAGCAAAATAAGCAGTGGGTAGAGAATCCAAAGCTGGACACAGCCTGCATGTGTATCCAGCATCAGGGAATGGGCATGACATACACACAGCCCAAAGGTGAAAAGCTGAATGTATGGCCCCACCATTGCCAAGAAAAATACAAGGTAGAGACAATGGTACACATTTAGTCACAATGGAAAATTTTCAATAAGTACATTCAAGACATAAACAGCTCAAGAAATACAGTCTGATGCAGGTCTATGCCTAATTCCAACTTCTACCAACCAGCAGGGGAACTCAGACCAATCGCTTCTCTCCGAGTCTCCTGTCCCCATCCATCTGAAAGCTTCAGAGGTGCCATGTGCAGCAGGATGAATGTTAGGACCAGGTCGAGAAGCCGTTTCCTATCACTGCAGAAGTGGGGTGATCTCGGACATCACCTACTCTTTCTGGGATATAAAATGAAAGCACGGACTCTGAAGTCCCTTCACATGCAACTGGATTTTCTTCTCCCCAGGATAAAATTAGCAGACAATTTCCTACTATGCTCACTAGCCAATTTATAAACACAGGTCAAATTCGATAGTCCGAAAGGGTTCATACCCACAGCTAAACTCCAAGTCACAGCAAATGAGCCTTCAAAGCCCCACTCGCTGAGAAAAGTTTTCCTGTGTTAGTTACACCCAGGCCCTTCAAAATCCATGGCCACCTATACTACCAGACTTCTACTAGACTTCAACGTTTTGAAAATCCCCAATATAATGAAGTTTGCTTGGTTACCTACAATCAAAAATGGATGTAGGAAAATCCATTTAAAAAGGTGACATTTTCACTTTGGAAGGGGAAAAAAAGAACCAACTACTTGTATTCACAGCTTTAGGAACTAACCTCGCAGAAGCTCAGATGTGGTTGTCCTGTGCAGTAGCAGGGAGGTATGGGCGGGGCCTCTGTCCACTCTTACCACGTGGCCCCCCAGGGCTGCACAGGGAGTGCTCTTCTTGCCTGACAAGAACAGCCAAAGCCCAAATTGGTTTGAAAGAGAAAAGGTGTTGGGTTTTGTGAGCCTACTTCTGCTCACTGGCTGTGTGACTTTGGCAGGTTACTTTCTCCCATGTCAAAAGAGAACGGCAGTCCCCAATACGCTAGGTCATCTTGAATGGGTCTCATGAGTTAATGTCCTTGAATACTGCACACACACAAGCTAAGTCTTGGAGTTGGTCAGTCTTGGCCAAAATTTCCCCTGCAGAGTCCAGATAACCCAACATGGAGGCTTCTGCGACCAGGTATGCTAAGGTGCCTGGAGGGATCCACAGTGCTATTTTCCCAGGGAGGGGAGAAGTCAAAGAAACTGACAGTGGTCACAGACTCCAAACTTTCCACATAAACCCGAGACTTTCCAAACACTTATTGAGACCCAGAAAGAACCCTGACCAACATCCTGAGAATGTGACATCTCAGAGTTGTGTAGAAGCAATGATCAGAATCTACATAATAAGGGGAACAAGGTGGGCCAGGGGGACACTAGAATATGTTTCAAGGGTCTGGAGGAGGCAGCATGTTAAAGAAAGCAAAAGAGGCTGGATTACTGCTGGGACTTGATTCAAGGTCAAAGCTGGATGATACCAAAACTCCCAATGGTTCTGGGTTTGAAACAGTCCTGCAGAACATTGGGGAATGCTTACAATTCAGCTTCAGGCTGCTGCTCCTAGTTAAGGCTTTGCACATGGTAAGACGAGAGCAGAAGGAACACTAAAGAAATCTGTTAACCATAAGCTGTCATTGGTTTTTAAAAAATGAACCACCTAGGTCTTAATTCTTCCTCTTGATCCTACATCTACCTACTACATTTCAGTAGCTAAAATTGAGTACACTCACTAAAATTTTTTCATGCTTCCTTTAAGGTATAATTCTATATCTCCCAGCCTCAAAAGAGAATTTTTGCTTTAATCACTGAATATGTATCAGAGCCCAGAGGCCTTTGGGATCTCTCAAGTATGAGTTAAGAACAGAAACAAAGTTGAACCCCCAAGAACATCTATCCATGACCTAAAAAAATGAGCCCTACAGAGTCATCTACTTTCCCTTCATCCAGGGAACTGATCACTGCAAAACTGGAAATGCTCACCATAAAGCGTCAACCAACCAGGGGCCAGGATGAGCGGCGGGGATTGCCAACTACTGCAGTAAGGTCAGGGAAAGCTGAGTGAACAATCCTTAGTCCTTCGTCCTGGAAAGTGAGTGACCTCCCTTGGTGCCTGGACACTTCCGCAGTGTGCCTGTGAGTTTCCAATAACTTTATTGACCCCACAGAGGAGGATACAACTGGCTGGACTGTTTGCCTTTAGGTGCTGCCTGCTCCGGTTGGGGTAGACCCCAGATCCTTTGAATTCCCTTCTAGTTCTACTTCTGGTTATCTGCAAAGAAGCGCAAACTGCCGTTGCACACCAAAGGCTTCTCTATGACTTCAGTGAGCCTGTGAACAAAAGTCGTGTAGACTTACAAGGCTGAGCTCCCACATCCAGCCTCAACAAATGTCTCATGGGGAGTGAAAGGGTAGAAGGATAACAGCCCAGTTTCCAAATGTACTTGATTTAGTCTTGCATTCAAGACCAGATCTGAATTTTTAAAACTATCCGTGCCCCTTGGTGATAGGAAGTATTCCTCTGAGTGTGTGTGCATGCAATGCCTACATGTGACTGGGTGTCCCTTCTGGTCTGTGCCCACTTGTTCATGAAAGCTCTGTAAAGGGAAAAAGGAGAAAGCAACAGGAGAGTGAGTAGAAGAAATACTTCTTCCCCTCTGAGATCCCTACACCTCCACTTTTGAAATGATGAAAACTATGTTCTTTGCTGTCCTTTTCTTAATACCTAGTCAGAAGTTTTCAGGTGTCCACAGCCTGAGAGTCAGGGCCACAGCAAAGGAAAACCACCTCTCTTCTTTAAGGGAAGGGAATTCTGGGCAGAAGTGAAGGCTTCTCTTCCACCTCAGCAAAGCTGGGTACGAGATGAGCGGTGACACCCAACGCAACTCTGGGGCTAGGCTTCTGCCCCTGCACACTGGGTCACTGAGGAGCGCAGCTGTCCGCAGTCCTGGAGGGCAGCGCACTGATGTTTGTAGTCAGAGCCCCTTGCAGTGTGGCGTTCCTGGTGCCACCTGGAGAGCCAGGGAGCAAGGAATGCTGCCTCCTCTCACCCCACCCTTCCCAGGAAGCCCCTTGTGGATGTCCCACTGGGGAGGAGCTCAGAGCGGCATCGTATTCTCTGCCTCGGTGTTGCTGGGGTGTTCTCACCCTTCAGCCTGCAAGAACCTGTGCTCTGCTAGCTATTCTTACTCTTGACCTCCCTTACTGTAGCAGGTGAACCAAAGGCCAAAGAACCACTGTCCTGCTTCCCGACTGAGGAGACTGCACGTTGCTCCCACCACCTTGTCCACCGGACGCCTTACATAGAATCAAAAGTGGCTCCCTGGAAGTTCACTTTCTCCCTGGACCTAGAGACATGTTAGAGACCTGACCGCGCCCTCTGCCGCCTGCCTTTGGATGAGGTAGGGAGGGAAGCAGCCCCTCCTTGCTTCTCACAGTGCGGGGAGCCAGGGCTGCTCAACCTCCTCTCCTGGCTGCCGACACCCAGTAGGGGCCACAGCAGGGCCCGCAGGCCTTCCCGAATAGTCCCCGGGTAATGCTTCGTCCACCAACACTGTGGGGGGTCCCTCGCCAGGCCAGGGTCCCCCTTGTTAGATGCCCTTTATTCTCTGCCCGTTCTGCATTCCTGTCGGGTCGGCGCTAACAGTAGAGCGACATCCTGCTGCGGCGCATGGCCTCGCTGATCAGGTAGGCGGGGCTCAGGTCGGGCTCCTCGGTCATGACGGCGATGTTCTGCCACTCGCCGGTCTGGCTGGACCTCTTGATGGTGTCCACCACGCAGAGCGCGTACAGGCAGTCGTCGAAGGTGGCAGCCATGGTGAGCGGCCTCCCGTCCCACGTGCGCCGGTCGTCCTGGTCCTGGAAGGCCTGGCGCACGGCCTGCATCATCATCATGGTGCCGCGCAGGTAGGGCGCGGGGATGTCGCTGAAGGCCTTGGCGGGCAGCAGCGAGTTGTTCACAGGCGTGGCGTCCTGCAGCAGCAGCTCCTGCTCGACCGCACTGTTGCGCTGCCCGTACAAGTCGGTGCCCACGGCCAGCAGGCGCCCGGCCGCGCCCACCACGGTCACGTCCTGCTTGAACTCACCGGGCACGTTGAAGTTCAGGGTCACGGTGCAGCACACGCCGCCCTCCAGCATCATCTGGAAGGTGCAGAAGTCGTCGCTGGTGATCTGGCGGATGCCCTTGATGTGGTCCGTCTGCTTGACGAAGGTCTTGAGCAGCCCGTGCACCTTGACGGCCTTCTGGCCAGTGAGGAAGGTGAGCAGGTCGATGATGTAGGTGCCCACCGAGTGCAGCCCACCGCCGCCCATCAGGTCGTCGCAGCTCCAGTTGTACTTCTTGCCCAGCAGGCTGCCGCCGTGCACCTGCACCTCGCACACCAGCAGCTCCCCCACGTAGCCCTCCTCGATCAGCTGCTTCATGCGCACGAAGGCCGGCAGGAAGCGCAGCACGTTGCCCATAATGCTCATGAGCTTGGGGTAGTAGTGGGCCGCCGACATCATGCGGAAGGCGTCCAGCGGCGTGGCCGTGCGGTCGCAGATGACGTTCTTGCCTATGCCTGCGGGAGCAAGGACAGCGGGTCAGTGCGCGGCGCGGGCGCTAGGGGGCGCTGTGGCCCGGAGCTCGAGCCCCGCCCTTAGGTTAGTCATTAACGTTGACGCTTTTACTCACATTTATTGCTATTTACTATCACTTAGGAAAGTGCTATTTACTATCACGTCATGAAACTTTCCTAAAACTTTTTTCCTATGTAAAATACATCATACCTAGTACAGTACTATTCTAAAGTTGAATTATAATAGTAAATCATTGGTATTGACTTAAATAGGAATAAGGTTTACTTTAATATACTTACATAGCCTAAATTATATTTACTCTATATTTTAAAATATTTGGGCCGGAGATTTAGCTCAGTGGTTTCCCTGCCCGCCTCGCAAGCACAAGGACTCGAGTTTGATCCCCGGTACCAAAAAAACGATTTTTTTTTTTTACTGATATAAATGCTTTAATAGTTTCATAAATCCATAACATTTTATAAGCAATTGTCTTGATTATAAAGCGATTTATACATAAGATGGCTTTATGAAAGTACACAATATCTTTTGTATATAAGATATACAATATCTTTTGTATATAACATACATTTTAAGTGAACATTTTATTTTAAATATCCTAAATATTTTTAGGATAGGGGGAGCAGTATCTAGATAGAACCAGGATCTCTGAGCTTAATTCCTAGTGCAGGGAGTCTGATTAAATGTGAGGAAAAATTTCTTAATGATCCCCTTTGAAGGTCTAAGATTTTGGCACCGTCCCCTCCCCCAGGGCTGTACTTGGAGCCTTTTCTTGTTTTTTGTTGTTGTTGTTGTTTGTTTGTTTAACATTCTAGATTAAGGCTAACATTAGTTACAGGTGTTTGCTTAATATTTTCCTCTTCCCATAAACAGCAGGTTCATTATGTGGAGAGTAGGCTGTGCCTGGCTCCTCCACATTCTCGTCCACCTCAGGGTGGAGTTTGTTGCTTTTGGACAGTGGTCTTGGGCCAAATAAGCATCAGTCCTGTGTGATGCCCATAATGGGTATAAATTACAGAGGCTGCAAGATGCCTCTCTGAGCCCTGCAGGAGACTAAGTGGTTCTGGTCTGCGGCAACAAAGGATCAAAGGAAAGGAGAGTGACAGGACCTGTGAAAGGGATTTGTTCTGTAGAAGCCAAGTCAGGAAAGAGCAAAACAGCTCTGCTGGACCTGCAGAAACAGCTAACTGCAATTCAAAAAACAAAAGCTACGTGTATGTTAGGAGGCCAGGTAAAATATACGCGGGGTAGAGCGACTCGGGGGTACTGAGTTGAGGCTTATGTGGGTCCCTGTGGCCCAGTCCTAACACCCCAAGAGGAGCCCTGGGCACTCCACTCACAGATGAGACCCCATGAGACAGGCCTCTGTGGAAGTCCTGCAGTGGTAGCCTGGTGTGTGAATCATTTCCCCCTTGCAGGAGAGAGAAAGCCAAAGAGTTGAAGTGCTCAGGGCAAATTGGAGTAAATAAATACAAACAATAGCCCTGGATTTCCAGGTACACATCTAGTTCTGGCCCAAATGGGAGCCCAGAGCTCCAGAATGGCCATAGCTCCTTGCCTTTTTCCACATGGCCAGAGCAGGGCCGTCCCTCTTCATGACCAGATCTGTGCAGTCAGAAGCCCTTTCAATTCCTAGCAACCAGATGAGGATGGGACTCTCACAGAGGGACAAGGCAATGTTGGCTTGCGTCACCAATCGTGCCACGCACTTGGGAAACGGCATATTGTGACGATCTGATCTTGGAGGCATTGGGTTCACGTTGCCATGAGCAGATTTATATGTAAATGGATTGGTGGGTCCCTGCAGGGACAGGTAGGTGACAGATACTGCCAAGACCTGTCTCACACCTACTGGGTAAAAGATCTGGCTTCTGCTGTACCCTGCCTCGAGGTCCCCAAATTCAGGACACTGACTGCTGTCTCCTTAGTGTACTCTATTGGTCAGGTGGATGTCACTTTTTTTAAGTTTGTTTTTCTATTATAAAAACGAAGTCGAGAAAAATAATTCACATTCCTTACCGCCCCCCCTCCCATAATCATGGAATGGGAAATTCTTGGCAGCTCTGTATATTCTGATGAAAGCTCTGGACCACCACACAAAAAAACTATTCCATCCTGAAATTCACTCTTGGATCCTCCCGGGCCCAGGCATCTCTTTCTTTAGAACCTTTGGGTACTGTGATTCCATCCCATCCAGTCAGTTCCTCAAGGACAAACCCTGGGACTTGAGTTTCCCCAGTGTCCACAGCACTGAGCTCTATGTCTTGCACACATTGGCACCCAGCCCCACCTCTGTCTGCAGTCTTCTGTGACATCCGTGCCTCACAGGTGACCCCGGGTAGGAACTAAACATACCATAGCCTCAAAACTCAGAAGAAATTTCTAGGGAGCTACTGCAAAGAGATAATCTAAAATGCAAGCACAGCTTTATGCCCAAAGATGCATCTCACTGCACACATTACTGAAACAAAACGCGAGGCACAGTGCAAACGCCCAACATTACAACAGAATATTGTGCAGCTATGGATGACGAGGCCTGTAAGGACCGTCCTGTAGCAAACCAGATGATCATGATGTAATCTTTAAGAAAAGGCTTCTATTCATTGGCAGACTAGGATCTCAGCTCTAAAAAGACAAAGCAAAATGCCAGAATGGACTACACCTCAACATGTTTAGTGTGGTTAGCTAATTACCAGGAAGACTGCTTTTTCTTTTTGGTGCTGGGGACTGACATGCACTCCCGGCCCCATCCATGCTAAGTAGTGTTCTACCACTGCACTACAGCTGCGGCCCCAAGATTTTTCATTTTTCCATAGTTTCTAATGTTATGATCTAGAAAAATTGTTCTTTAGTTAAATGAGACAGGATCACTGAAGGACAGCACTCAGTTGACAACGGGACCTTCCCGTGTCAGAGGTTCCCACTCACAGACCTGTCCCTAGTCCCTGTGATCTGAGATGGCACAAGCACCCTGACCTGGAACTCTGGAAGAGTCAGAGGCTCGGGTAATGTGGTCTTCCTGTTCCCATAGCTCAGAACCTCTTTATGAGGTAAAAAAATTACCGTCCTGGCCTCGCCTTGCATATTGCGGGGAGAGTCTGTTTTCTCACTGCTGGGAAGCAGCATTACTACAAGGATAGAGTCACCCCCAGAGCACCCCAGACACACACTTTCGGTTTACATTGTCTTACAGTAACATGAGGCTTGGCATCCTAAGGCAAAAGATCAGAAGCTAGGGGACATGGAGCAAATCTTCCAGAAGGTCACGCTGTGGAGAATGAAGCACAGGCACTCAGAACATGCGGATCCTATTTCACTCCAAAGCCACAGCCAGGGAAACAGAAAGCAGGGGAAAGTGCCGGAGAGTTGAGCCAAGCCCCAAGCATTGCCAAGCAGTGGACAGGTTTCATCAGAGCATGGGGGGCTCCCTAGACAGGCTTCCTAGGTACCCAGGGGCTGGGAGGTGGGGGACCTCTGAGGGACCGTGAGCCTGCCTCACCGTGGCTGTGCTCAGAAGTGGGCCTCCTGGAAAGTATCAGATGTGTCTAGTGTGGCCAAGGACACATCAGGACATCTTCCTGACCCTTTTCTGCGCTCCCTTGCAGAAGGACAGAGCTTCGGGGGCCTTTGGGCTCAAACCACGTTTATTTTTCAACAGAAGCAGCCCTCAGGAGCATTTCTGGGGACAGCACTGTGTCACAGAGAAAAGGAACCTGCCCAGCTCCATCCAGGGCAAGGCCGGGAGCAGCACGAGACGGTGAGTGGAGGCGCCATGGGGAGGCGGGGTGCCTGCTGGTCCCAGCCCATGCTAGCGCTCTCAGCCCTGAGCGCCACAGCCTCCCTCCCTGCCTGCCAGCCGCACTTTCCCAGCCCTCATCTAATAGTGGTGGGGATCTCAGAGGCCACTGCTACTTTCATTTCCTCCCCATCATTCCTCTTGTGCTGACAGCCTCTTACCTCCTGGAAGCCCACATCCATGCTGTTCCTGCAGGCAGCGGCCAGAGGCCCCGCAAGGCCCTTGGAGAGGGCTTCCTCCTTTCCCTCCCACTTTCTCTGCATTAGCTTTGTTTAGACCCTGCCCTTCACCCTTCCTAGGTAGCAGCAGGACCAACCAATGAATTTAAAAAAAAATGATTAGAGGATGCAGATCTAAGAGAGGAGTAAATAAATAATGACTGCATGAAGTGTAGCGGGGGGTTGCTGTCCAACTGATTTGGGCATGGAAGAAACCTGGAGAGGTGACATTTCAGCTGGGTTCTGACACATGAATAGGAGTCTAGCCATTCATCAGTCAGATGTTCAGGTTGTCATTCAGGCCGTGTGCCACTGAGAAAACAGTAAAGAGCACTTGATCTGGGACTCAGAAATCACTAAAACTAGACAGTTCACAAAAATTGTATGCGGATCCTGATAGGCAGTTTTTAGAGAGAGGCTATGGTCCCAAAAAGACTAAGAAGAACTGCAGTTTAGAGTGAAGGGGGAAAAAAACCAAGTCAAAGACAAAGCTGTCATTTTAGCAGAACTAAGTGCTGTACAAGAACAGACAGGGTAACCTGTAATTTCGCCCTCTACTCCAGCTCTTGTGTCTTTTACTTACCCTTCTGTTAATTTGGTTTCTGTACCACTCCAGCATATGTACATGTACACACACAGTTTTCACCTAGTGCAAGAAAAGTGGTGACCATAGGAGTCATCGAGTCCCCTCAGCCCTGGCCTTGCTCCTGTCACCTGGGAGGGGTCCCATTGGACAGGTTCACTCCCCGGGAGAGTTCTGGGCAAACACAACTTCCCAGCTCAAAGGCCGAGTCCCTCGTGCCCATAGCACTGAAGACACAACGTCACGTAGCCGCCACGCCTGGCGAGCACGGACGGGGCCGGGCGGCGTGTTTGGCACACATGTGCTCCCCGTCTGTACAGCCCTGTGAGGCAGCGGCTAATCCCACGTGAGGCAGAGCCTGAGAGGAAGCGGCCTGCCTGGCTCCAC